TATTCACAAGTGGAAAATATTTAAGATAGTTGCCAATCTTCCCAGGAATAGACATCCCAGCAAATTCACTCCAAGGGAGACCATGCAATGCTCAGAGAAATTGCAAAAATTCTAAGAGCTACATCTCAGACTCTGCAGAGTCAGCATGTTAGATGATGAAGGTCATGATGGTACAATTAGAAACAAGTATGGTTTATTTGGAAGGATTGCCAGGAGAAAGTCTCTTCTAAAAAGAACATGGCAGTAAAATTGCATCTGAACAAATAACAAGACTTCTGAACACTGTCCTTTGGAAAGATGAAACTAAAGAGATGTTTGTCCATAATGCATGCTGCCACATTTGGTAAAAACCAAACATGGCATATCAGCACAAACATCTCATACCAATTGTCAAGCACAGTGGTAGAAGGGAAATGATTTGGGTTTGTTTTGCAGCCACAGGATCTGGGCACCTTGCAGTTATTGAGTTGACCATGAACTCTTCTGTATACTAAAATATTTGAGAGTCAAATTTGAGGCCACCTATCTGACAGGTAAATCTTGGCCAACATAGCAATAGCAATAAGACTTATATACCGCTTCATAGGACTTTCAGTCCTCTCTCAGCGGTTTACAGAGTCAGCATATTGCCCCCAACAACAATCCGGGTCCTCATTTTACCCACCTCGGAAGATGAAAGGCTGAGTCAACCCTGAGCCGGTGAGATTTGAACAGCCAAACTGCAGAACTGCAGTCAGCTGAAGTAGCCTGCAGTGCTGCATTTAACCACTGCGCCACCTCGGCTCTTATTGGGGTCATGCACCAGGACAATGATCCCAAATATACCAGCAAATCTACAACAGAATAGTTGGAAAAAAAAGAATCAAGGTGTTGAATGGCCCAGTCAAAGTCCAGATCTCCACCTGATTGGAATGCTATGGCAGTACCTCAAAAGAACTGTGTATAAACAAATGTCCACAAACCTCAATGAACTGAAGCAAAGGTGTAAAAAAGAGTGAGCAAATTCCTTCACAACGATGTGATAAAGTCAGACAGAACACAATTATTTCAAGTAAACGTTGCTCTACAAGCTATTGGATTATAAAATATACTTTGTTTTTCACACAAGCTTCTCCATTTTTGCTTTCTTTTTGTGAAATAATGTCGTGTTGTTTATCTGAGGTTGTATTTGTCTGTTTTTAAGAACTGCTAAGGATGATTACTATATCCTGATACGTAAACTATAGATCTCAAAGACAGTATACTTTCTTTTTATATAACTCTAAAACATTGTTAGGGTACAATATTAAGGACAAAAATGTATTTTTTAAATAAAGCATAATTGATTAAAATCTCCATATACATGTATCTCAGTAATATGTAATATTGGGGTTGTTTTATAAGGGATGCAGTTATTAACTGCACAGATCTTATATAGATAGTCCTTGACTTACAACAGTTCATTTCGTGACCATTTATAGTTATAACGACACTGAAAAATTACATGACTGTTTTTCAGTTGTGACCTTTGCAGCATCCCCATGATCAGGTGATCAAAATTAAGACTCTTGACAACGGGTTTACATTTATGACCCTTGCTGTTTGCCAAGATTATGTGATCATTTTTTGTAATTGTCTGAAGCAGGGTCAATGGGAAATCCAGATTCACTTAACAACCGAGTTACTAACTTATCAACTGCAGTGATTCAGTTAATAACGGTGGCAAGAAAAGTTATAAAATGGGGCAAAACTCACAAATAGCAGAAATTTTGGGCTCAATTGTGGTTGTAAGTTGCGGACTACCTGTAAATGCAACAGATCTTAGGCAGACTAATTTTGCCTTCTTACATTACTCAGGTCTCACCAGTTCTGATTAGAATACAAGATTCTTATCATACATTAAGAAAAACTTTAAACTGTACAACTACTATGGAAGAAAAATGAAAAATCATACCTAATAAGTTCCTTATACTTCTATATTTGAAGCATAACTAAAATATTCCTATTTCCACATGAAAAATATACTGTTTTCTATTTTACCAATTTGCAGCTCCCTTTTCAAGTTCAAGAAATTCTGTGAATCATTAAATGTGGCAGCATTTCAGCAGAACCAAGACTCAAAATGCTTTTGATTTTTAATCAAGTAAAACCTGGCGGGATCCCAGAATGAGGGATCAAGCAGGGTCAGACTATGTGTTTTCCTGATGCCACTTTTCTTTGGCGTGCGCTACATAATTTCCTGACTGTTGTAGTTTCAGCAGAAATCATGGCAGCATATTCTATTGGCAAGCCTTCCCCTGATTTCCTTAGTACTTTTCTTTCATTTATTTCCCCCATTCTATTTCTAGGTTTATTACATCCTTTTTATAGTAGGAAATAATCACTGTAGGGATTTTATTAATTATTGCATATATGGAGATAAATTTGTAGCAAATTCAGTTTAATTATATACTTTCTTAATTGTGATAAATAAATGGATAAGGGATATGATATAAAACTATGTTCACACTGAACATGTTTCTAAGCATAAACACCTCAACTTTGAGAATAGAATAGATATGCCAAATATCCACAATAATTGTTGCTAAATTATGTCTGCCAATGAAGTTATTAAGAGTTATATTTGTTTTTAGTTCAAGATCTATTTATTTTCATAGTTAAGTATACAGTCTAACAATCTAAATGAAATAAAAAAATTGATGGAAAATTTTCATTCCATCTCATTCCTATTCAAGAATATTTATGTTTTGAGTTATCTACAAAATGGCTAGATTGGGAAATGCAATTCTTAAGTTTTTAATACTTCCCTTTTGTAGTACAGCAAGTCTCAAAATCACATTGATTCTTACCTTAATATCTTACTGCTTTTTAAAACAGGTGTACTTGCAAATTGAATTCTCTTTTACCAACACACATAATAATGCACACGCCAGCACAAACAGCAACTATTTTCAAGTGCAAATTGATGCAAGAGTTGCCTTCATACAATAAATTGCTTTTCAAAATAAGATTTTGAGCCTGATTTTTAGTGTGCTCCTAATAGAAAGCCTACCCCCAAAATAAGCCCTAGTTAAGACCATCATCTGCTGGGGAGGAAGTTGCCAGTACCGGAGGTTGTAAAGGTGTGAGGGTTGACGGTGTTCAGCAGCAGCCACAGCCTGTATAGCGCAGGGGTGTTGATCACCTGTCCAAGCAGCAGGCAGAGGCGAGGCGAAGTACGCAATCCAGACGTGCCATGGGAAAGCTGAGAGATGGTGGGCTGGAGTGGCTGGCCGGCCATGGGAGGATCATCTTTGCATGGCAGCACTGCAGCAGATGAGGCAGAGACATGGGGGGAAGTGACACACAATCTGGATGCACCGCATGGGCTGCAGGCAAGCTGAGAGACCAAAGACAAGTCTCCTGCGGCTGCCTGCCCATCAGCTTGCTGGCAGCCCGTGTCTGGATTGGGTGTCTTTCTCGCACCTCTACCTGCATAGCACGGGCTGCACAGCTCCAGAATGCGCCTTTTGTGAGTGCACTAGAGGGATGGAGTGCCCAGCCAGGCTGATCACCCTGACATCGTGTTTCCCCCAAAATAAGCCCTAATGCTTATTTTGGAGCCCCACAAAACATAAGACCGGGTCTTATTTTCTGGAAAACACTGGTACTTTAATATTCTTGTCTTAGAAATAAATACATTATTCCATGTATGGATTGATTATGCTTCTGCATGGATCAAAGCTTGTGTGCTTTGTTGGTTCAGAGCTGGATATTTTACCAAAGGCATTCCAGGACAGGAATAACAAGGAAAATTCCAGTGGCGGATGGTAAGGATAAAAATATAGGGTCCATGTGCTGTAAGTTCAAGCTGTGGAGAAACAAGGTGCTTGGAAGATAGGCAGCCTAGTGTTCTGACCTAGGCTTCCCGATATAGTAAAAAGCACATGCTTAGGCCCAAGAACCCTCTTTTTATTTCAATTATGTTCATTAACAGCCCATAATGAGTCCCAAATAGTTGTAAAGAGTCCTACAGTAGGCTGCCAAAGTCTTCGGGATAAGGCTGATAAGCACCCACCTTTATCTTCCTTGAAATGCTGCCAAAGACTTAATTAGCAATTAGCTTGGCAAGGCCACACAGAGCAAAGAGTCAAAACAGAGCTTCAGAAGATAAACTGACCAGCATGAATCAAATTGCTTCCGGCAAAGGCTCATGTGCCTTTGCTCCTCCTTTATGTCTTATGGCAGGGGCCAATCTCCAAGCCTTACTCCTGAGTCATTCCTTCTGTCTTAACTGTTCTTGTCTTTCGGCAGTTCCCAGTTCATGCGCACACTGGGAAAAGGGAGAACCTGTTCTTTTGCCTCACTGATGTCTGACTCTTGAAACTCCAGAGGCAGTACAAAACTCCCAGATGGCGCTGGCCCCCTCTCTGCCTCTGATGCAGAGCCCTCACCCAAGCCTTCCCCAGACTCCAGGACTGGCCCATGTTCCTCCCCAACCTCCATGCTGTCCCCATGCTACTACCAGCTCTGCAGGCTGCCAGTGGACCACAACACATAGGTATCCAATGCAGAGGATAGGATGCTGCACATCCCTCATGCAAAAGAGAAGCAGAAGGCTCTCAGAAATGCCCTATTTGCCTAGAATTGTTCCAAATTTGCCTCAGTTGAAACCTGAATTATTTGAGTTTTACATTAGGTGGACCTGGGTTGACCACTGGAATAGCCACCACCTCACCTGGATTAACTCAGCCAAATTGATAAGGCATAATGTTTTATTTCTATCTGTAGGGCAAAACCCATTTCCACTTTATATATTTCTGACATTATGTAGTTTTCTTGGTAAAAATACAGAGTGGTTGATCATTGCCTTCTCCTGTGTAGTATGAATTGATGCTGTTAATATCATAATCCCTTCTAGCACCTAGCACCTACCTATATTGCTTATATATATATACTTTCTCAAAATGTTTTGATTATGAACATGATCAATTATTGGTGCAAACATATTTATGAACATGATCAATATTGGTGCAAACATATTATAAACCCACAAGTTAAAATTTATTTCTTCACCTAAAAAACAAGCAGCCCAGAAGATATACAGAAAAATTCCCAGATTATTTCTTGTAAAACTTTTTTAGATTTATACAATCTTTACAGAAACATACAGTGTATCAAAATCTGCATAAATCAAATTTATAAAATGAGTAAAAATGCATAGTGATCAACTTACAGAGCAAGGATATGGGATCTACTTCTTAAAAAGCAGGTTACTGTATGAAAAGTCATTAGGAGTAACGGCTTATGTTATAAGATTTACGTTTAAAAATACAGATCCATTCTCACATACAGTATCATTTTAAATGGATTGCACACAATACCCATTTAGCACATACACACTTGCACAATGTGCAATCTCTTTCACTTATGCATAGTAATATGATTAATATATATTCAAAAATGAAATAATTTCATTCAAGGAAATATTAAATGTGCCCAGAAATTTTATCACCCTTTTCCCATCTTCTTCCACTTTTATTTCTAAATTATTAACACTTTTTAATACCCAAAAGACAGATAGTTGAAAAATAAAATCACTCTAAAACTAAATTACATGTATCTGGTCTTAGGGTCAGCATTTATCCTTTTAAATAAAGAATCTCCATCACTCTCTTTGAGGAATAGATAAAATCAGTGCCAAAGATTTGCACTACTGAAATTATTTTTGTAATTCAATAAACTCCCTATTTACGACTCCATAATCCTTTAATTTGGGTTAAGTTTGGGGCAACTGGAGGGAGCTGAACATCAGAAGATTTTTTTTGCACTCTAGGAAATATCTGCCGCCACCTAGGATTGAACTCTCAATCTTACGAGTGGGAGACAAGCGTCTTCACCATTAAGCTACCATGCCACTCATGTGTAATTCAAAATAAAATAATTTTAAAATGATCTAATTTTAAAATGAATCTGAATTAATTGATTCTATGCATTAAGTATTTCAGTAGAATATAGGTGTGCAGCACTTCACACCTGACCCACAGGGTAATTATTGAAATCACTCTTTAAGACTGAATATTTAATTTGGACATTTTTTTAATTCTCACCAAAAATGTATTTTATTAACCAAAGTTTTTTTAAGTATTTTTTTTTAAATTAGTTAGGACTAAGCAATGCTTCCAAAATAGTTTGGAAAAGGTGATTCAGGAAGTACCAGGAGTGTGATTAGAGAACCTACATGCAACTCTAAAGCAGTTTTAGATTGCACAGCTTCCCTCTACAGCTCTCGTGTTCTCAGGAAAAGAAATACATTAAAAAAATGAAGACAGATATTATGTTTACATCACTGAATTCTCCCAAGTACATTTCTGAAACTGAAACAGAGTCATAGCGCAATACTAATGTGCTGTATATATTTAATTTTCTATGTTTGATTTTGTCTTCATGCTATGGGCAAATCTAATCGTTCAAAACATCTCTTAATTAAACTATTTATTTGGAAGAATGTAGTTCTCAAGTTGTGTACCAGAAACAAAAACCCACTCTCCAATTCTACTATACATGGATAGATTTCTTACCAAATACTGCCTGTAAAATAATTCAGAAATTGTTAAGAAATTGAATTCAAGTTTATGAACTGGATAAATTTTGCTACTCAATATTAGGCAGATGTAGATTTTTTTTCATTTCTGACATATTTTGTTACGTTAAGGGATAATATAGCAAGGAGTGCTTGTATCTACAACAAATTCCATTTGAGGCATCAAATTAGAGAAGACTTAATCTGTTTCAATGGTTCATAGATTTAAGTGCTACCCTTTACACCAATTTAATCATTCAAAATGTTCAAGATGTTTTAACATTGCTATTTTGGACACCCATATCACATTATTAGTATGCTTTATGCACAAATTATTTAATGTACTAATTAGGAATAAAGAGTATACTAGTAAAATTAGAACATTATTTAAACGTAATGTGGGCATTGCAAATTTTTCCTGTTCCTAATACGAAGAGAGACTTCAATATATTTATCCTGTAATGAATTTCTCTGGTCAGTTAAGGAGGAAAAATTAAGGAAACACTAAATATACTGAAGATTCTTTTTTCAAAAAAGCAGCATGACTGTGAAAGAAGGCCACCTTGGCTATAAACCTGTGGCAGTGCTTAGTAAAATGTAAAAACAAACAATATATAACAAGTCAATAATCCCATATTATATGCCAAGTTTTTTTTCAAGTGTGAATGTTGGAATTAAAAAAACAAACTGCCTGCAAACCCCTGAGTGTAATCCCAAAGAAGACAACAAATACTTGGATCCAATTCTTTTGTTTGTGCCCAAGTGAAAGGCACTTAATCACACCTGGGAAGTTGCCGATTTTCAGCCCTTTACACCATTCAGAACGTTTATAGAAGGTCCTTAAGGAGGGCTCTAGGATAAGGTTGTCACCATAAGAGGAAAAGGAAATGACCTCTTACCCATGTAGAAACAACCTCCTACTACTTTGGATCCAAGCTTGTGCTTCTAACTTTGTTCCAGTAAAACAAGTCAAAGCACTTTAAATGATAAGCCAGAGCATCTAAAAACAACATCCTAAAAGAAAGCAAAGAGATGTAAACATCTATTGACGTTTAAGGTAAGAGCAGTTTTTGTAAACATTAACTGCAGATGATAAATCTATCACAGTTCATCTAAGTCCTTCATCCAGATCAGGACATTCCAGGCTCCCAGCTATACAAGTTAACAGTTGCAGCAGTTTTCAGGTTATTTTCAGTTCTATACAAATTACATTTGTCAGTAGGTAGATGCAGCTATTTTGTTTACACACTTAGGATATTGTTCATTTCCCATTTTTGTGTTTCTTTATTTGAGTCACAATCTGAAATAAATACTTGATGTAAAACTTCTGAACGGTCCAAGCATTTCCCTGATGAGATGTGAGTAAATCTACGAAGATTCTGAAAAGCAAAAGCAAAATGCTGTTAGTTTTTAATTAAAAACAACAAATCAAATTTAGTTTTTCTTTAACTTCTCAACATCAAAGTAGGAATATAGGTTAGGAACTATTTGTTGGAGCAACCTGCCTAAGCCTGACAATTCTATGAATCTTGAGTTTTTGACAAGCTGCTATTTAGATTCACAAGAAAAAAAATACACATAGGAATTCAAATACTATGTACTAGTAATATATACACAAAAGAAAAACCAGACCCAATAAAAATATTCCTTTTTGAGTAAGAAAATAAAATTCTGTGACTAAAGCTTTGGGACTTAGGTATGTGAGCACCTAAGTAAGAGTTGTCTGTTGTAAGATTCAGTTAGGAACAGTGTGACCCTCCTGGTCCTGAAGTGACTTGATACCATCTTATCACAATCCCCTTCTGGACCAGCTCTGAAGGGTGGAAACATAAAGCTCAATTTTATAAAGGTATTTTACCTTCCTGAAGGACTGGTCTCAATTGACTATAGTGGAGGCTGAGGCATCAAATATGCAGGAGCTCCAGTATGAGTCCTGCAAGGGGTCAGCCTTTCTGTCCCACTATTCAGTTTTTAAATGTACATTTTGGAAATGGTCAGATGCCAGCATCCTATGAATGTTACATTATAGCTTTTACTGCTTAATTGCCAATTGCATTATTCAATTATTATACTTTTGCATTGTATTGTATAATGGAAGGTCAGTAAGCCATGTAGAGGGCAGTAAGGTTTCGGGTAGCAAACAAAATTTAAAAATAAGTAAGGAGGAAAGTAAGTAAGGAGGAAAGTAAGGAGCCGAGGTGGCGCAGTGGTTAAATGCAGCACTGCAGGCTACTTCAGCTGACTGCAGTTCTGCAGTTCGGCTGTTTAAATCTCACCGGCTCAAG